TGCACCTTTGGGACAGAATTTGTGCCAAAGTAAAAATTTACCATGAACCGTGCATTATGAATGAGGCATTAGATTCACTCTACCGGAGCTGCAAGTCCTGCTCTTTTACATAAATGAGGTATTGCAGACCTCTCACAGGGAATCAAACAGTGCTTACTGACAAATCTGAGTTCCTGATTTCAGTCATTGCCATGACCGTGGGAGGGGAGGTCACCAGCAGATTATAGCATTAGACTGTTCCTAGAGCCTCTGGCAGAGGCCTGAGATCAGTCACCTCCCTGCTTGTTGGCAGCAGTTGGTACATTGCTTGGCACAGCGAGAATAAAGAATGCAGAGGAAAACAACTTGAAAATGAAGAAAGATTTGGCTCCACAGCGAATCACACACATGCATGCATTTAACAAGACACGAGGAGAAGAGAAACACATAGCTAAACATCTTTGGACGCCTCTTACTTGGTCCACAACACCAGGTAACCCTACTCTGTTGATGTCAGCATGCACCGAATGTAATAATCAGTTGCAATTCAATAATCTGCGATTTACTTCAAGTCATTAATTGTTGCCACACAGTAATTTTCATTGCGAGCTGTTATAACCTATTCATAACGGATGGAATGCCCTGGGATGACGTGCTTTTCCCCCTACATTTCCTTGTAAAATGCATTCCTAATCCCATTATGGACATCTGTGAATGAGGTATAATTGAAGGATCTCTGCATTCTTACAGACCTATTAACTGGTTATAAACTACGAGAGGCTGAGACCTGTGAACTTTTGGACTCAAATCTAGGTACACTTGCATGACTTGGCGATACTTCTGAGCGGAAACATGCTGAACGGAAATTTGGAAAAACGATATAATCTGCCCGGGATATACTGATTCCCGGGCACATTACTCAAATGGGATACCTGCTTGGCCACCGATTGATTCCCCACATTTTTAAAGGAACGAGTTCTGTTTTTAAAAGAGCAGTTTCAATGGGAATCTCGCTTTTTACATAGGACTATTAACTAGTCAAGCAGATCATCCATCTTGCAGATGAGCTGATATGAGTTCTTTAAACAGAAGCAAAAGGCCGGGTTTATTTCCAGCAGTTAACTAAGCGACCCTGCTTGAAGAATCGCAATTATTCATATAGAGATGAAGTACAGCTGGCATGATTGGTTGAGAAGAATTGATATAACTTTGTGCTATTGGCGTGCAATAGACATAAGACTTAATGAGCCTAATGGGCCAGTTACATATCCATTTCTCATGTAATAAAAACCTCTTGTTCGAGATAGGTTACGACTTCAATTCTTGAATCTGCAAGAACACTGCCAGCCAGGTTGAGAACTTGAACTTTCAACAACGTTTGGTTAATCGTAATGGATGTTGAGAATAATTTTCAGGACATAGATTGTTTGCTTTTTCCTTTATTGCTGGCATTTTAAAAAATTATGCGGAGTAACAATTTAAAAAGATTAAGTTCTTTTTTTGGCAGGCTTTTCAGTTTATGCCAAATAATATTTAATAACAGGAGAAACCACACTCTGTGTAATAAAGCCAACCCACTATCTTCAGATACAAATAAAAATTTTCCTGGCGGGACGAAGTACCAAGGCACTCAACAATCCAGGGTTTGCACCCAAGCTGCGGATGGGGGTATGGATGGTGGAGGAGTGGGGGGTTGAGTTAGTCTGGTGAAAGAGGAACGTCTTGTGTTGGACATTGAAGGAGGTGAAAGAAGGTGTGATTCAAAGGGACTCCAGGATGGAGTTCCAGAGAGTGGGGGGCAGAAGTCCAACCACTGATGAGAGGGGAGGTGGAGCGGGGTCGAGAAGCAGATTGGTGACTGCTGGGTAGAGGGTCGGTAGGATTGGAGAAGGTTGCAGAAGTAGGATGGGGCAAGACCATGGAGGGATTTAAAGGTTAGGACGAGGATCTTGAACTGGGTCATTCAACTCATGACTGTTTGTGGGACCTTGAGATAGTGCTAATGGCAATCTATAAATCCAATCATTACACTTGAAGATAAATTCAATGTGTTCAAGATGTTCCGTGATAAGGTGCTATAAAAGTGCAAGTCTTTACTTTCTCCTTCATTTTTTCTCTGTCTCTCTTTCTTATTTTCTTTCTTTCTGTCTCTTTCTCCCACTCTTTCATTCTGTCACCTCGTTCTTTCTTGCTTAATTCCTAAGCACTGTAGCTTTCAATAACTATTGAATTCACTGCTGACAGTACACAGTCTCGAAACAACAGCCTGATGGTGATCACCCACATAAACATAAGTGGGATCGTCAGATGAGTTGACCTCAGTACATTTTTGAATCAAAAAAAATGTTTTGCCATCAACAACAAAAAAATAAAATCATCACAATCACAGAAAATGAGCCTCTGCTGCTCTTTTGGAAACATTTTGCCCATTTCTCAAATCTTTAACTGCTGTGCTAACATGTGAAAACTAAGAGCAGAATCCACAGAAAATAAAAGTGGTCATTCACTTGATTCAAACAAATGTCAAAAGTGCCATAGTTTTTGAATGAATGGTATTGGTATCTGTCTGTTGGCCAAATCACATTTATAGAAGATTAATGTCACGTGTTGGCCGAATAATAAATTTGTGTTATGAAAATATGTGTCATATTGAACATATGGTTCGCACTGAAAAGTCTGAAGTATCCATTTTAATTTGTCTCTGGAGGCAAGTTTGCCAAATGTTTTCACTGCAACGTTTACTACTAATGACATTATACCATGACTCCTGTTGGAGTCCTGTAGCTCAGTGGTTAGAGCACTCGCTTTGCAAGCGAGAGACCTGAGTTCAATTCCAGGCAGAGGGCGAAACCTTGGGCAAGTTTCCTTACTCCACACAGAGCCTAATAATAATCCCTCCAAAACCAAAAACAATAATAAATTGGTCATTTTCAATCTACGACTGTTTGTGGGACATTGCTGTGCGCAATTGGCTGCCGCGTTCGCCCACAAATATACAGTCAATTCACTTTACAGTATATTCTGTGAAGCGCTTTGGGACGTCCTCCCGACGTGAAAAGCGCTATATCAAATGCAAGGATTATTATTATTATTATTCCATTTAGATTGAACTATAATATTCAGAATGCACTCAGATAACAAACTATATCTGCAGACCGGCCTGATGATATGACAGATAATGTGTAAGCACATTAATTTTCTTCTTCAGTTTAATCCACAGATCTTGTTGAAGGTTGGTGTCCTTACAATAATAAATAATAATAATCCTTGCATTTGATATAGCACCTTGTCACGTCATCCAGATGTCTCATAGTGCTTTACAGGATATACTGTAAACTGGAGTGACTGCATTTTGTGGGCAAAACTGATAATTTTGTGGGCAAAGCGAAAACAATAGTTAAACAAACAGTTCATTTGGAAAAATAAGTGTAAATTCTAAGGCTACTGAACCCAGACATAGACATATTTGGAGCCTGAATTGTAATGAGCATTTACGAAACATTTTGTGAGCATGCGAGTCGAGCCAGGAATAAAATTTCGCCTCGCAAATGGGAAGGAATAAATCTATGTTAAAAGGGCTTAAAGCTTTAAGGGGCATAAAACAATAGGAGGTTGAAAATGCGACATTTCCAAACAGCTGCACTAATTGTGACTTCAGGTTTGCTCCTGGAATTGCGCAATTTTTGCGCTACAAAGTTCAACAACAAATTTGCAACTCGTTTTGCTTTTTGACCTTTTGTTTGACTTTTCAGGATTTTTCATTCGTGAATCCTCGTGCCAATTCATAACCCATTTAGATTTGTAAACTGCGAATCTTGAATCACCGAGAGCTGTATAGAATTTATATTCTCAATAGACAGAAGGACAAACTCATGACTCTATCTCCGTGCTGTTACATTTTTAAAAACTGAGCTCCAAGATTAAGCTTTCATTAGTTTAAATCTTGGGAATTAACCAAACTTTATTTAAATACTGCATTTTCATACTGAACAAATTAGCAGTGCGGGCATCTACAACTTTGTTGGAAAACATTCATGTTGTGGCGATAAAACCTTAATGTCTGTTCCAAAAAAAATGCTTGGCTAATGTCTCTACTAGCAGGAGTCTCTCTAACAAGCATTATAATTTTGTACTGTATAGCAATCCTGTTGCCTAAGGACACTCAAAATGTTTAAACATATGATGCCGAATACAAGCACAGTTCAAATCCGATTGCTCATAATTGCGAGTGAAAGGCTGACCTAAATAATCTCTCACTCTGACAAAGTGAAATAAAGGCGATGACGAATGCAAACCGGGACACCTACCATTCTAACACTGTTACAAAGATGTCACATACCAAACACCAATATGCTGCATTAATATTTGCCAACCATAACTCGCTGCTCCCAAGCTCACTGACACAATCGCTATTTGGGATTAATTTACATATATTATAGAACAAACGGATTTTGTTGGGCATATCACATGCAGATGAACTGTAATGCAAGGATAGTGTGTTTCTACTTCAAGTATTTGATTCTTGCTCTCCTTCCAAATACACATTGTTATATATATGAGTGTTTGGGGACCATTACCCTAATGTTGAATGGGTCTATAGCAATTTACCAAATATTCAGACTCTCGTCACATTAACATTGAGCGGACCGACGGACTGTACAATAGCACTTTTGCCTACAGGAGGCTAAAGATGTTTTTTTATATATATTAGTGACAGTTCACTTCAGAAAAACAACAGAGACGATTTCAAATTGGTTGGAGTCAGTGAATAAATCTGCTGACACAGTGTTACTCGAACAAAAGCACAAATTGCATTGCATTCAATTGGATAATTTATGGCTACCGTAGAACATTTGCCCTCCAGGTAGTAATGGGTGAATAGCAATGTCATGTTTGTGTAATCACTTTACCTGAATCATTTAAAGAACATAAATATCTCTCAGACATAACAAATATTTGATCGTTCGTTTCGATTGCAGATGGCAGCAAAAAAATATCTCAATATAAAGAGTAAAACTTACTTGACAGGAATGGGTCGAATCTTAGTTTTCTCTGCCTGTGGAGGACAAAGAAACACAAATAATAATTGCTTGACACGGCTTTGTAAATTAGTACTCGAGCACTTAACAGCCTTTTCATCCTACAGCACATCAACGAGTTTCCCCAACCACAGAATATACAGAGGAAACATGACATATAAGCTTTTACAAATATTGTTTACAAACCAAATGAAAAAGTATTTTCCCCCGGGATGCATAAATGGTTAAGTTTGCTTTTATTTAATGGCAATTCAATTCTCAATCTAAATAACACAATGCAAGATCAAATTGCTATTTTTATATAATTAGAATAGTTATGATTGAAGAGAGGATATGATACGAGCATTAAGTGGCTTCTCAGTTTGATCACATTTGCCCAAATGATTGAAAAAAGGACCCAGGCAGACAAAGTTTTATCATTTTTTACTTTATTAACACCCAATTAGTAAAGATTCAATTATGTACTGACAGTATCCTTTCAGTTCATTTTATGTACTGCTTAATATTTGGGGTGTAGTTATTGATAACAGTAACTACTTTTGTGCAATGATTAGGCATGCCATAAACCTAAACGTTTCAAACTGCCTGTTATTTCAAACACCATTACAGTCAATCCACAAGTAGTACAAGAAACAGGAATTATCCGAAGAATTAAACTGTCTTAGAACTCATATGCAGGAAAATAGAATTAAATAATCACAGTTTCAGCGCTCCCGTCTGTCTCTTGCAATATGATGCTAGTGGATGTGATGACAGCAATGGAAATGACTGTTTGTTGTATTTGACAGCTATCAAAGGTCTGTGTTATATGCAGTAATGACATAAAACAATTTGTTCTGATCTCCATGGTAAAAGATTCAAGGCGAGGCATTTGTGAAATTAAATGCATGTTGCTTTCTTGTTAATAGGAAATTAAAAGCACTACCAACCGCTGTTACAAAGACACATGTTTGCATTGTAAAATTTATATTGGATGTGGACACCATTGGAAATGCACTGTCGCTGTCGACCCCCATCCTGTCCAATATCTGACTCCTTCCAGTGAGATCACTGTGAACACTGTGTTTTCACCTCTAGGACCGTTATCCAAGCTCAATTTACATTTTTAGAACCATCTTCCCTTTCCCCAGTACTGACAATCCTCAATTTTCTTTCAAGCATCATTTGAACAATTTATACACTTTCTCTTGTGATTTGCAGAGTACAAGTTGTAGGACGCAATTCAAGTTACAAAGTACTCACTATATTGCAATATTTAAGGTATTTGACATTAGATAATCCTACTTTTTTCAAAAAAAAACACACAATATGGTCAGACTATAATGCAGTGGGAAATGAATAGCAAATTAGTGGCCCAAACCAGTTATTGTTGTGTAATTTGTTTTGTAAATTTAGTGCATGTTTTTATTGCAGTAATTCAAGCTGGTCATTACTAACAAATGTTAACAGGTCGTTTGTGCCAAATGTGCAACGTGAACATTTTGTCTTGAGCTTGCTGCTCACGAGTGACCAATTATACAAGGGTGAAACAAATTTGGATTAAAAATGCACATCAGTACCCCACCCCCCAAAAAAAATTGTGCATTTAGAATTACATTAAAAATTTAAAGTTGGCTTTGGATTCACTGGGAGAAATCGCTGGTGCTCTTAGAAATGAATTTGTATCCTAATGGAAGATAAAGGGCCTCTACTCACCTCTGATAAAATATCATACAAAACTCTGTATTCTATTTGGGTCGGATTGTCAAGAGGTTAGATATAGGAATTTCTCTCCGATTGAAATTGTTCATTTGATCCTAGTTCTTTGAGTACAACTGACAACAGCGCCCCATTACACCCAAAGCCACAAAGAAATCACATTAATAGATCACAATCGCTGCTAATCCTCTTTTTTTAAACAAAAGTTATTAATGAAAAACAATGGCTTGGCCGTTTATTGCACCCTTCGTGTGCCTATTTTTTAATATATATATAATTAATGGGCAATGTTTTAGGGCATTTCTCGTCTCCTTTGCAAAAGCCAGAAAAAAAACAGAAAATGAAAAATGTAACAGTGTAATACGTTGATACTTTATTGCTTGTGGTGAAAAATCATTTTAACTGCAATATCACCAAGGAAAATGGCATTGTTTTGAACTGAAAGGTAAAATTTTGCAACCAATAGGGCTGAAAATCACGTGGAATGGGTTGACTAGTTTGACAGAGTTTTACTTGAATGACAATTTAAAAGCGGGAAGGGAAAAAGGCAGTCAAATGCTGGCAGTTATTTTCTCTTGCGCTCGTAATGCCGAAACACACAAATTGTCTAAATGACTAAATCTCCTAGTGTTTTCCTTGCTACACAACCTGTACTACTTCAGATATGGACCGCAGTTCCAGTTTATTGCAGAACTCATTGATCTGTGTACAGTCCATTTATCATTCATGAAAGAACTCAGTGATCTTCACAGTATATTATATGAAACAACTCATATCATCTGTCAACTGCGGTCTTATTTCTGTTTTCAACTCCATAGGGATTTCATCTTTTTGATCCTTCTTGAATTAAAATGTTGCTAAGCAACACAGCCGGGAGGCATGCAAGCTCAATGCCTCTAAAAATGTAGTCTATCAAATCATTTTAACAGTCTGAAATCCTTACAGCAATTGAAAAGGTGCTGTTTATTTCATGAAACTGACATTTTCCTGGATATATTTTAGACAGTAGTTTACCTAAGTACAATTAACCTGTCATGTTTTATATTTTTGGAAGAGGAATATCAAGGGACACCTTTTCGCAAATGAAGTTCAAGGTTGCTTAAGCATCTCCTTTATTCAATCTTCACTTAGCTTGTAGTATAATGATTCCTTTTTGATCATCACTAAATTTAACACATCAGATAAAATGCCTCCTTAATCATCTCCAACGTTATCCATCTACTCAACAAGTCAAATCTTCAATCACAAAGCATGTGTGTCTACGATGAATTAATTTACAAGCGCAGTAGGANTTTTTTGTACTTTTCGGTTGTTATTTTTAAAAAAGGAATGATTTCTCAACAGCTAAGCTTTGCAAGGCCTAAAGTCACATTGTTGAAATCATTCTATTGCTTTTTTAACCAGGGATGAGAAGCAAATCACAAAAAAGAGAAAAATAGAAAAGTCAATCAAAGTCTCCTTGTCTCTAGTATTATCATGAGCCATGTAAAGAGTATATAGCTTTGACAAGTTGACCTTTCTTCCCCATTTATATTCATATGATTGTTGAAGAGTGGCTATGGTATCTTTACAGGGATAAAAAAAAGGAACTGGAAATGCAGGAGAAACAGTAGGGAGTTAATACCTTGAAATATCGAAGGATATAGAGAGCGCAGAATGCAAGTGAAAAGCAGCAACAAATTACACCTCAAAACAAAGTATTCTACAACCAAGAACTTCAATCACACGCCTGAAACTCACATATCCAGCTCAGTTCCTTTGGGCCTATCAGACTGTTCCAACAATAGAAATGGCACCAAAGACAGAAAGTAACTGAATTGTTAATTATTTGCCAACAGTGCAAACAAGAGCTGTCAATGCCAACCTGGTGCTTTGCCATTGTTGTTGTTTTTCTTTCATATTTATTTTTAAATAATCTGACAATTTTATTGATAATGTGGGTTTGATCCAAATAATTGCCAATGATACGGCAGTTTAATTTAACAGTGCCTGCACAACACTGTTTTTTTTAAATTTCTAATTAGCTGAGTCCCCTGGACATTGCTGTATTTTGCAGTTGTGCAATAATTTGTTTAGGTTTAATGCTCTGTTTCCTTTGCTGCCTCACACAATCACTTCTTTGTATGATTCTTTTCAATGGGATCCATTTAATCGGGTGTAAATCCCGTGTACCGTATGATGGACTCTTCACGTTAAATCAATTAGTGCCGCACCAACCTTTGACCACTCAACTGACACAAATCCATACTCACGAGATGTCCAATTTATTTCTTATAAGTTCAATTGAATGACACCTATTGCAAAAATCAATAGCACCATGGGTGTGTGTTGCTCCTGCAACATTATGTATAATCAATAATTCATTAATAAAGTACATTTAAGTCTCTGTCTCTTTATTTGTTTGCCAAAGTGAGCAATTTCATTACGGTAGGTAACTGACAGCAACTGATTAGCTTTTTCCGCTTGATAACCAGTTTGGCTACTCAGTGACTAGTTAGTGTGATCTGTTGAAGAGCTTCTGTGATTATCCAGATGAAGCTGCTGGTGTAGTAGATTACCAAGATTTCCATTTATTAGCTACAAATAAAACCAGCACCTTCGGCTTTTGGGAAATCTTTCTAAACCTGCTGTGTAATCTAGCTCTATCCTATCGCTAGGGCAGACACATCTTGAAATCAATTTCAGTGGAAGTGCACCTGATAAAGATTAAAAAGCGTACTTAGATATCATCTTAAGTTAGTTAAGTTATCAGCAACCAATATTACTCCACTTACAGCTCCAGTTTCTAGCCTTACTCCTGAAAATGTTAATAATCATGAGTTTCTGGTCAATAACCCTCCAGGACAAAATGGGTCTGGCTGTTCAACTCCAGGCTGTTTGTGAAAAATTGCTGCCTCAAATGGCTACCTCCTTTTTGCCTACAAAACAGTGACTTCACTGTGTAGATGACTGCCTGTGATCACTGTGTCGATGACTGCTTTGTAACATTTCAACATGAAAGGGCACTATAAAACTTACAACAGATGTGTCTAAAATTGAGAAGGTTTGCAAAAGAAAGATCTCCCTCTTTGTATTGTATGTCAGTTAGCTAACCAAATAAGAATATAGCCATCTGTGTGACAAAACTTTTCAAAGTTTTTCTTTACTTTATTGTCATTTTTTTTGCGGTATACCTCCTTTATTTCCCTGTTTCCTTTACCCAGGAATAAGAAGTGACAATGGTTCAATCATAGACACTTCTGCAATGCTACCAATTCCACTATTTGACTGACACCATGAGATGTGTTATAGCTGTCTAAGAAGCCCTTGATAAAAAGATCTTCCAATGCTGGACAGACACATCGAGCCTAACAGGCAAGCCAGTGCTCTTCTGACTCCAAGCTGACAGATTGTGAGTAGCTCTTACTGCAGCGTTTTAATAGAGCCAATGATCCTATTATTTGACAATTAAAAGCAACTCGCTGCTTAGCACTTTGTTCACACTGGAAACAAAGAGGTCAGACCACAAAACCAGGATTTTTAATGTCCAACGCAAATGAAATAAATGTTTCATTCTAAATTAGTTCCACCTCAGAACAACACCCCTGCTGGAACAGGTTTCATGCCAGAAACAGTTCAGGCAGACGTGGCAAACTGTTGAATTCCACTGAAAATATAACTCCTGGAAATTTGCATGACCTAAAACCAGCTGCAAGAGGAACGAGAGCTTGATCAGGGACTGGGTTGAAACTGGGGCTAAACTGTGCGAGTCGTTCTTGTCAGGTAAATTCTATTAACCCTACCACTGTCGGTTGTAAAACATGATAGTTACTACAAACTAATGATTTTATTAAAAAAAGCTATCCTCAAATAAGTAATGAGGGACCACTGCAGCAGAATATATATAGATCCACATAGAAAAGCGAACACAAAACTAAAAAGCTTCAGGCAGCAATTGCTGGTGTTCCATTGAGAGCCAATCGTCTTAATGAACCAGATCCACCTAATTCAACACTATCAATTCAGTTCCAAAGCATTTATGTTGGCAGCAGGACTTTTTATCAAGTCTTGAGTATACTTTTAAGATGTCAGTTACAAGTGGTCAATGCATTACTATGTTCTTGGAATCTTATTGGACTTTATTTGATAGGTTCAATTTTGGGGTCGGTTACATGGGAGAAGCTGGGAAGTTCCAAGGTGATTTTTTTTTGCCCTACGTGCATTTTATTACTGAGTCCCGGAACTCAGCCAAAGGCCTGATCAGTGTCTTCTTCCAAAATGCTGCCTCAGCGTTCAAAACCACGTTACACATGATTCTCCCATGAATGAGACAAATTAAAAGATGGCTAAGTTCAGAATTAAAGCAAATTTAATCATAGAAAACATGGGTCTTTGGAACCACAACATTTCAGTTTTTTGGACACTGTTCCTATTTTACTTTTAAATCGAATGTTTTTTGTAAAATCGAATGTGGTTACATATATGAAATGAAGGGGAAAAAAAGGTTGTGTTTTCTGCAATGCCCATTAAATACCAAATAAAGCTGATGTATTCCTTGTGCAAGAATACTTTGCAGATGTCAAGCTCGATCATTTTGGAGTTGGAAGATACATTGAGGATGCCATGCGTGTACTATTTCCATGTGTGTCTGTACACTATTACCCTGCCCATTGTGCCACAGCTTTTTTCTGTTAGGTTAATGATATGGCACATATACATTTAGAAAGGGGATGTTTAAAGGTTTTCTTCTGTTGCTACATTCACCAAAGCAGGAGGAAACCAGCAAGATCGATGTGAATTACAGTAAAGTTTAAGAACAGATGCGGACTATAATTAAATTGATTTATGCTTTCTTCTGATCTTCAAAGCCAACAGTCATCTACAATTTACCTTGAGCGTGGTATCTCTTTTTAAAGCTGCAAGGTTCTTTTTTGTAATCAAATACGTTTTATGATAATATGTTCGATTTTTTTTTAAATGACACTTGTATGTTACATTAAAAAAAATTGCATTCTCAGAGAATCAGCTGGAAATACTTGTGAATTTTTTTTATATTAGATGAAGTCAACAAAAGCTTATGTTCAAAAGCTATTTTCAGAGCAGTGAGCACTGCATCAATAACAGCTTCTTAGTAATAAATGAAAATTGATTCCAGATTTAACCTTTGATTTTCTATAATTCTAAGTTCTACACTAACTCGCAAATAAGTAAAAGAGGAATGTGCATTTAATAGGGCTCCTGGAGCCATTGTAAATGTCATTTACAATAAAGACTTGTGCTGCAGCTTGTGTAGGGATGACAAGGTTCATTCCAACTTTGGCTCTTCTTAATTATACATAGGAAAGTCTCTTAAAGTTAATTAAGTTGGAACATACTGATAAGTTGCAGCTGCAATAAAAGTGGCACCAGATAATTAGAATATTAGAGCCCGAATATTCCTGCATTTTAAAAAAATTATATGTAAAACATCCCCTTATACTGTATTTACATTTGTTATGTCACCAGAGTGCTATCTTGTTGGTGCATTATCTTTCTGTCAACAAAACAAATCCACTGAATCACAGCAGGTCTATAGGCAACATGAATAAATCACATCAAAGTCTGACCTGATTGTGTGTAAGATAGTATTATCAATGTTTAGATTTCTAGGTCTTAACAGGCTGAAGAATTGAATTTTATCATTGAATTTTAGCCAAGAAAGCACACATTTCGAATTTTGGATTTGGTTCCTGCAGGTAAAATCAACAGTAGCACAGGAAAAGCTTAAAATTTATGCTTCATCAAAAAAGTTTGTTTAGATTGAATAGAAGGGAGTGAAGTTAAAATAAATAGAAGTGCGCAGGATTGGGCAAGTATAAATGTATTAACGAGAAGGCAAGGCGGACAGGCAGGCAGTGTAAAGTTGTTTAAAAATTATTAAATATTTATTCTACAGTAATTATTACTACGCTTGTCATGAAGTATTTTTTTACTGTGACGTCTGCATTGATTTCAACAGCACAGTGCGCAAACTAAAACTTTAAACTTGGGGAAGCCCACATAGCTTGGAGGTTCCAGTAACTATCAAAAGTTGAGGGTCAATCGTCGAAACAATCAAGGTTAAAATACGGCAGTTTTGGGATGCACGAAACTGCAACAGTGCTTAGTAGATGAGAGCGGACTAACAAAAGAGATAGAAAAACAAATCATTTTAGTTGAGACTTTTATTCTTCTCCAATTATTTCGAAGCTTTTTTTTACATCTCATTCGTTCAGAGGGCTACTCCTGTGTCTCACAGCTAATTCTATTGTTCAACTGGTCACTGGGACATGTATCAATGCAGCCTTTGGTTCTGCTCCTTACTCTGGGGAAGCAACTTGAGCTGAGTGAAACCCCCACTCACTAATCTAGGCCAACAGGTAAACGAGCGGAAAGGAGGAAGATTGTTGGGAAATCGTGTGGATGAATTATTCAGTGCCACTCCCAGAACTCACATCTCTCAAATGGGAAAAGAAACAAGAGAATTTTTAGCTTCATAGAAGTATTTTTAAGACCATTAAGGAGATTCCCTTGGTGCATTCCACAGAGACACGAGACAGGGACTATTTACTTCCAGGTCTGAAGAGTAGGAGAAGAGCATTGAGAGTCATTTTCTCAAGCAGCACGTAGATGTTGTGGGCGTAGTCCAGATTATCCAACTTGAATTGAACAGAGAGATCAAGGAGCACAGAGGGAATTGGAAGTACACACGTTGCAACAGGTACTACCCCAGACAGTTATAGAGACAAGACACAAGGGCCAGTGCTTGAGAAGGCTTAAGTTCACTAAGGAATCAGTGACTGAGGTTTGCCACCTACTTTATGAAAACCAACAGGGACAATCCATCACCATTGCTGCTAAAGGCCACTACTGCTCTCAACATTTATGTCACTGGGATCTGCCAGACATCCACAAGGGAATGAGGTTTGCTGCGAATTACTGCATTAAGGAGGTGACTGTTATTAGGATACAATGTGAACTTCACAATGTGGAACATGAACACATCCATACACGTTGATTGTGCACAAGCAATCATTGACCAAGTGATGAGCACACTGCAGATACGTCAGCACAGTATAGGAGTGCAATGCAGGGCTTGAATAGATATGTGTATCTCTCAACCCTCAGTACAGGCTCACACATGAATCGGACCTTTGTTGAAGAACTATTGTAGAGTTCCCAGCTACTACAGAACATGAATCATGACTTTTGGGAGATCCACGTAATCAGTTCTCTGTCATACCATACAACATTGTCATTTAATTTTACAAAATATGTCTGAGAAAACAGGGATGTATCGGAGAAACAGACAAAACTGTGAGTAAGCTAACAAATACAACTGAGGTCCAGGAAACATTTATAAACTCCTCAAATTTTACTTTTAAGATGAATGGCAACATCTAACACGCTTGGGTAGGTTCTAACCTTGGAACCTACTTTCAGGAATCGATTACTATATATCTGTTCCAATCTGTGTTTCACAGATGCAATCATAATGAAGAAAAAAGTTTTGGAATTCAGATGGGCAGAGACTGTGCTCCATTGAGAGCGATATTTTGCTATTTTAAAAATCCACCCCAAAACAAACGTACGTGCCCTTTCCCCACTGAGAACACTTCAGCTGTTGTGTTCCTACAGTGTACGGAAAGATAGTTTGCCTGTGCTCAAACAGAAGATGATTTCTGCTCTGAGGCCACGCCGTGGGTTATGTTTACACAGGGCACACAGAGCCAGAGAGATCACGCAATTTGTTTCACTGTTTGTCATTGAAATCGATTTTGCTTACCAGGGAAAGGCCATGTCGTGCTGCTCTTAGATCCTGTAACCAATCGCAGCATGCCACTGGACAGTTGTGTTTGCTTTCCGACATTCGAGGAGCTGGGGATTGTGTGCATTGCTCGTGCTCCCGACACCCACCCCCCTACCCCCCGAACAAGAATTGCTTCACTGTCAATTAGAAAGTGCTGCTCGGGAGCTTCACAATAGTATTTACCTGTTCACCATCATCCTCGTCACTACTGAGCTTCAGGTCATCCTCCAGCATCCTGCAAGAAAAAATAAATAAAAAGTAAGCGCAAGCTATCGTGGGTTAAAGTGTTACTCAGATGTCTTGCGAGCAGGGGTGCAAAGGCTGCAAACAGCTGGGTGCCATGCCTGTTGAGAGAGCCAGAAAGAAGGCAGTAATTTTTCCCTGATCAGTTCTGCACAGGTCCTGCATTTTCATGGATTTAGCTCCGCAGAATCCTTAGGAGCACAACTTGGTACAAATTGCTTAGTATGTGTGGTCCACCCGAGCTCAGGATTCCTGGCTCCGATTCCTTGTTATTCGTGCACATAGAGCAAATAAAAGCCCAGGAGAAACAAACAGGCTGAACAGGGGAAATGCTTGCTCTGAACACGAAAACTTGAGGAGTAGAATAATGAATGTTTTGAGTCTGGGTGTGCGAGTTCTAATCAAATGAAACGCAGGGAGTAAAATGTCAATGTATTCTTATTTACTGACCGCACGTGCTTAGTGGTGTTTTAAATATCATTTTTATCTGGTTTGCATAACTCATAACTATGAGTGCACAAAATCATACAAGCTTTCCTAACATTCATATAAAAGGTCTCACATTATTAGCTGATTTGCAATGAACAGACACCGGCGATCAAGGCAAGATTCTGGATTCGATTTTCATCTGACCCATGTCGGACAGCACTAGTATGTTACACGGTTAACATGTAGTTCCTCTCTAGTTTTACTTTAAAATGTCATGTCATTAGCATACGATTTGCCTTTCTGTAAATTGGTTCATTCAAATTCAGGTATTTCTGCCACATCTCCTGGCAGGTTAATGGCTTGCACAGTATTTTTATTTAACAAATAAATTAGTGAGCAATAAACCTTGGAAATGTAAAATAAAATACAGATCATAATGACACATCAGCAAAATTAGTGCATGTCTTCACTAAATAAATAAATGCTAAAATATTATTTCAGTAGATATTAATATCGCAATGACTCATGTGTCTCAACTGAGCTGTCATTTCTTTTCAAACAGTTGGCAATGCTTCAGCTCCAAGTGTGCCTTATAGAAGATTGCTTTTTTCTAAAAAAAATTCCAAACAACATTTAACTACAATTTATTCATTGTTAAATTGACATTAACTTTGCATCAGCAACCGAGGTCAACAGAGGAAAGGACAAATGAATTGCCATTGTAATGCTGACATTTCACATACATCTATCTGACTTTCTAAGCTTCATCCTGAAACTGGCAACAGCACCCAGAAAACGTTGCATCTCCCTTGTGCACAGAGCAATCATTTCCGCTCTGCTTGCTATTAAGGTCTAAAAGTCAGCAATTTCAAATGGGACAATTATAATAATAATTGATAATTTCTTAATAAGCATCCAAATCACAAAGAGGGTTTCCTTCCAGCCACCAAGAGTACGTCCAGTGGGAACGCCACTCTGAAAGCAGTTTGAATCGGATCACAAAGTGATATCAGTTACAGGAAGGAAACCCGTTTTGTAACTCAGAATTCTTACTAAGAAATCCTGTTTGAAATCGCCGCCTTTTAGACCCTACTGTACGAGGAGAAAACCACGATGCTTCGTGCAAAATAAAGATTTATTTGCATTGTTGATGTGATGGGCAGATGAAATTCCGCAATCCGGAGGTGACTTTCAAGGGGTCTGCTAGTTACAAACCTCAAATGGATTATTAAGGTACTTTAGCATTATGAACTATCCGCTCGCCAATAAGGGTGCTACTCATTGATGCTAACAAAATGACAAGTCTGGCACTTCAGCGTCAAGGCATTTCAGGCATTCATAGGTTTTCATGAATGTTTTGTAGATTTCATGACACACATTTTGCTGCCTTTTCAATAGACAGAGCTTACAAAGCTAATGTCTACTTTGGCTGAAAATCTCTGCCAGATCACTAAAAGGATCAAAGGAATGGTAGAAAATAGCAAATAATGAGAAAGGATTCTCTCAGGTAAGGCAATCCATTCCGTCTGACAGAACAGTGGCTGGACACACCAAAACAGAGGATTGTAACTCAGCACCTGACAAATGTATCATAATAAGTGTTTTTTTTGGATGCATCATTGCAAAACAAATCCAATCATTATTAACGGATCTTATCCAAAAAAACTATTGGTTCTGATTTGGTCACGACATTGGGGTGGGGGGGGGGGGGGGGGTGCTGTGCACATTGATGGTGCTTTGGAAAAGACATGTTTGTAATAATCTTTACGTAAGATCTTTTGTGACGGGAGGACATCTCAAAGCACTTCACACGATTTTCTCAGAGGTGAGAGTGCTACCAACTAGAGGGCTGATGTGATAGGAAGCGAACTGGTAAGTACAAAATAAAAAAATGTTTGCGAGTTAATCTAATGTTAGTTTTAGCTTTACGCAGCAGGGAAAGGATTGGATTAAAGAGGGATTTCTAATTTAATTACACAAGGTAGGATTGAGGCTAAAGTACCACTCATTACCAAACAATTAACAGAAGATTAAGGTTACAAAATCAACTGAACTGTAGTCATTTAAGATCACAGTCTGGCTGTGTGCTTTCATCCTGTGAAGAACAGGTTGATACTGACTGCCATGATTTTGACGAAGGAGGCCAGCTACTAGGGCTGGAAATATCTCTCTGCTCCCTGTGTCAGCCCAGTTCTTGCCAAGAAACCTACCAGCACTGCCTTGTCATCGGAACAGCAAAAGCACATGCCTGCTGGACTCGTCCTGGTTCCATTGAGGTAATTAGTGTAATTACACTTAGACAGCGAGGTAACCATGCAGTTATTTATCAGCTACCTCACCATCGGTAAGTGCCTTTTTTATTTTCATTGCCTACTACGAGCAAGATAGAACACAAAACCTGATTACGGTCATAAATAAATCTAATGGTCACAAACTGTCCTGATGTGAAATAAACCCACCTCAAAATATTTTGCTTAAATACAATTATTTTTCTTGTTTAAAAAAAACTGTTTCAATCGCTGAAAATATATCCGAGAACAGGCTGGTTGCAATCTTCTTCTTCCAGCCGTGGCTTTTAATATTTGTGTTTGGATCTTTCTGATGACGGGCTTATACCGTACAATCTCATATCACAAGCACCTGAAAATTGACTCTGAGTAGGGAAGTGTCGCACATTAAAATAATCGACCCATTAGGGTAGATGTGAATGTCCCACCCGTATTTCCCCAGCCTTTCAGTCTTGGCTCTGCGTTTTTAAATCATAGAGCAACCCTGTGTGAAATGCCTACCTGCTGTGAGACATAAAAGAAGAGGTGGGAGGAGGAAAAGAAGATCATTTTCTTTGGATCTGCTGATGTTAACAAGGAGAGTGTCACAAACACATATCCACCCAGACCTCACAGAGACACCTGTCTCCATTGCATTTACATGGGGAATGATGACATTCGCACTAACAGAGGTCACAGAGAGAGAGAAAAATACTGTTCATTTAAAATCTCCCAGATTTTTACATTCAATCACGGCTATCCTTTGCCCTTATTTTTCTTTTTTTTGTATCTTTAATCGACCACCCAACAGTGCCAAATTGCCTTTTAAATGTCCTCTACTAGGTTTTTGTTTGACAGAGATGGCTGCTAGTGTTAACATGAGCTATCACTTCAGCCCATTTAACTTCCCTCAGCTTGACAGCTTCACAATGTCCTCTCCCATTTCACTCAGCCTGTGATTTACCAGCAGAGACTGTGGGAGACCAGCTTGGCCCATGTGCAAGTCTCCTGTGAAGGCTCTCTGTTAAAAGTTTGCTTGAAGTAACAGACTATGCAAACTCTGGGGACAAAAACGAGGGTCAAAGGTCCACAAAGAAATGCCTTACATGAATATCTGCAGACTGCTTCCTTTTGCAAAATTAGATGTTAAGTGAACCTCCTATCCGACACTTGATTGCTTCTTGTTAAAGCATTGGTCGGCTCACATGGGACTTCTAACTTTAACTGTCAGTCAGAAGGATTCAATAAAGAGAGCTGCACACCTGCTTCTTGTACACTCATGTTCTGTATCAATTCCCACACAACTGTCATCAGTGGACAATACACAAAAAATGGATTCTATGCTGTTACATCAATTTTTTTTCATGTGTAATAAAATCCATTTTTTTTTGTTGTCTTCACTAAGCTCAGGCAAAATACGTGGATCATTTATATTGGTTTATTCCAAAGTTTGGAAACTCGTCTGCTTGAGGGATGACATTATCTTGTCACACATAAATGCCAATGCTGCACTTACAAATGTTTCATAAATAATGTGGCAAAGAGTGGTACAGCGTGAGTCATGCTTTTAATTTTCCCACAAGGTGACTTCCCCCACAATGTCAGGCAAACCGCTGAAGGAGATATGGAACGGAATAAAACTGCAGATGCTGTAAATCTGAAATCGACTCAGAAAATGCTGAGAGTTCAGAGATGTTTTATTGGTGCTTGAAAGAGAACGGCTCAATGTTTTGGGGTGACCTTTCATTAGCAGAGCTGTTTCTGACGAAGGGTCAAATCTGCGACGTTAACTTGTCATTTCCTTTCAGAAGCTGATTGAGTGCCTATTGAGTAACATTGTTGAGGACAGGTACCTTCATACTCGGGCTACATAGGAGCAAGAATGTTTGGGGAGGTGATACTCAGATATCTAAGTATGTGTCAAGTTGAGCCACTTCTGAAACACTGCAACCAGCAACAGACATCCAGAGATGGGTGCCTAGATCAAGATGTCTAAGAAGTATAAAGCCATATTGTTTTTATAGATGTTTTTGTGTTCTGGAAAAATATGTCTATACTTGGACCTTAAAGAATAAAGGGAAAACCAAAAATGGAAGTAGGAAGAAAATAGTTAAAACACGTGAATAATAATTTAGTTGTCAACCTGGCTTTGTTGGTAGCACTCTCACCTCTGAGCTAGAAGGTTGTGAGCTAAAGGACCACTTTGTTACTTTGAGCACACAGTCTAGGCTTATACACCTCTCAGAGGTGCTGTCTTTCAGAGGAGATGTTAAACCCATGTCTATGAAGTACAAAG